ACCACTCAGCTTCGGGTCATCTGCAAACCTGCACTTAATGCCACTGCCATTGTTGAAGACATTTAACAGTACTGATCCCAATACAGACTCCTAGGAGACACCACTTTTCACTGATGTCCCTCTGGACGTTGGGCAGTTGACCACTACCCTCTGGGTGTGACCATCTGGTCAATTCCTAATCCAGCAATCAAATTCATCTCACTCCAATTTAGTGAGGAGGATGTGGTGGGGGACTGTGCCAAAGGCTTTACAGAAGTCCAGAAAGATGATATCTGTAGCTCTTCTCTTGTCACTCCACCAGAGAAAACCACTGGGTTGGCCAGACAGGATTTGCCCCTGGTGAAGCTGTGCTGGCTGTTTAAAATCATCTTCCGGTTCTTGTGTGCCTTAATACACACAGCTTCCAGGAGATCTTTATTCCCAGGCATATAAGTGAGCCCTCACCACCATCCACTCTCCCTGTGCCAGACCCTGAATGTAATTTGTGGTTCACAGCTGGAACCCAGCAGCTGGTTCTTTGCATTGGTGTGATCTTTTCTGTGAATCCTGTAGGATCCTACAAGACAATCACAGGAGACTGGAAGAAGGGGAGTACTTCCAGGACTGAGTCTGGCTCCTGTGTGGTCGTGGTCATTCTCTTACAGTAGTGCCTGCAAGTGAGAAGATATTCTGCCTCCCAGGCAAAACGGGCACGATCTCCAAGTTGCAGTCAAGTCAATTACCACACAAAAAGAGTATTTGCCATTTACTTGGGAGGAATTAAAAGACACCCTTGAATGCTTAATCAGTATTTATGTTTTCATTTCCAATCTCATTACAGCTGCTACTGCAGACAGACTGTGTGAAAAGGCTCCAGACAGGTCCCACACACCTTCTGCAAAATCTTGCCTAAATCTGAAGGCCCAGACCTGAGCTGAAAAAAGGCTCACACAGATGAGGTGAATAACTGGTGGGGAGAGGGGTGTGAAGGAAGGCTGCTCAGGTTCCTCACTCTCTTTTTGTGCACTCTCCCTTCCCAGCAAGGGCTGTTAAAACATCTCCTAGAGATCTGCATCTGAAGGCTGAGTTGCTGGGAGTTGTAAGAGGCCACAGATTCTCTAAACAGGCAAAGTATGGCTGCTTGCAAATTGCTCTATTGTAAAGGAAAAAAAAAAAAATCCATTCCCCAAAATCCTATTCATCACTGTTAAGCTAACAGACTCATTTAGAAGAGAGACAGCTGTGTGCTGAAAATGTCATTCCATTACAACACTGCCACCTCTTGTTCTTCTGCTGGTTTCATTTTTGCCCACCTCCAATCGGTGGGGGATCCACCACCAGCAGAAAGGCATAAAGTCTCCACTGCTTTTGTTAACCTGAAACCTTACAAGGAAGAGCAACTGGCTGGATGCAAAGTCATGTACTTCTATACAAGTTATGAAAAAGTAGAACGCTTGAAAACATCCACATATTCTATCAGTCAGTGTTGATTAGTGTGTAACTATTTTCTCTGCTAACTCAAAGAAGGAGGTCCTGAAAGGAATGGGGTGGGGAAAGAGGGGGGAACAAACTCACCTCAGGAGAAAATGTCATGGGATTTGTCCAGCATAAGTGAAATACATTTTATTCATGCAGTGTTACCTCCAAACTCTGTGACTTTTGATGTTTACCTCAGTTTTCCTCTCAGTACTTGTGCAATTTTTCATGGTGTCTCCCTGTGTTTCAGTCTTCATGTGCAGAGTAGCTCAAAGCAGGGCTAATGTTTTAGCCAAATGCAAGTGCCTGGTACCTGCCAGGAGCCTCTGAAACTGGCACACAGCACTGATTCCCTGGGCTGTGGGGCCAGCTGAAACTGCTGGTCAGCCCACCACACAGAAGGAAATGACCTGACAACCAGCCCTCCAGTTGCAGTTTTCACATCTCTTTCTAGCTGGAAGATCCAGTCAAAAAGAAAAATTTGTTCTTCAAATGGAGTTGGCAGGAGACAAGCAGAATTACTGTGGTTGATTCCTAATACAACAGGACTTGAAGCAGCTGGGTTTTTCTACTTCATACTCAGTAAACACATTAATTCTGAACCACAGTTATTGATTCCAGACTTTCTTGCAACCCTCTCTGGTGTTTAAATCCAAGATGAACACTCCAAATCTGTTCTTCTTGTTTTGGACATGTTGTGTGTAGGGCCCACCTTGGAAGTGTTAGTAAGGTGAAACCAGGAGATACTTTAAAACTAAAAATTGTGTAATTTCATGTAATTGATTTCAGGAGTGAAAAATACACAAATGCCAATTCTATGCTGACTCTTACAGCACAAGTTTCTCTCCTCACCTATTGTTTTTTTTAATCTCTACAACAGAAATATCTGTAATGTCATGTAAGTGGTCATGTATATAATCAACGCGCTAAGAGCCCTCAGGTTAGTGCACACAATATTGCAGAGAGTATTGTCATAATGCCAGTATCATGAAAGTAAACCCGAAATCCTGATTCCTTAAGTTAGGTTTTAAATTTATAATTTTGATCTTTATCTAAACCTCCTTTATAATTTTGAGTGCTATAATCAGGCAGAACAAAAACTATAAAGTCAACACATAAGCTGAATAGTTCTTGATATATTTTAGTCCAATATTTTATGGTTCAGTCCTATTCTGTGTAAATACATCTTCAATAAATGCTACATGTGGAGTCAATCTACACGAGCAATTCATTGAGGTGACTGTGGTACTTGGGGCTGGACACAAGTGCAGTGTGTCCATTTTGTGGTGATGTGCTGATAGGACCATCAAACAGCCAGAGTATAAAAAATACCAAAATATAAGTCCTTATTATGGAGTTAATTAATAAGTTATTGTTTGTATGGAAACCAAACGGAGATGCTACAAAAATGATTTCATTATTCCTTGAGAGATTATGGATTTCTACAGTATCTCTGGGAACTACCATAAAAACATCCACAAGCAGTTACAAGTTTTCAAAACATGACACTTGGCTCCAGCCCTGCGAATGCACAATCACACCTCTCCCCCACTGGCGTTACTCACCCAGAGTCACAAAAGTTGAATCCAGAGCTGGCTGCCACCCCTGACTGTGCTATTCCTGCTCACTACATATCCATTTCTCTCTGTCAAGTCCTCCCTGAACAGTGTTCCCACCAAATGCACCATGGCTCTTTCTTTAATTTACCCCTCCCCTCCTGACTCCCCCACATACACAGTCCCCCACCCCAAAATACTCTCTTGTCCATGAAAGGCGTAACTCAGTCTCGTGGCCCCACCTGTTAAAACAGCTTTCACACTCCGGGTGTTTTCAGCTACCCTTTCCTTTGTCCTTCTCCAGGCTAAGAAGAGTTAATTCCAGTCCTGGAGAATAATAACTAATAACATAAATAAACCCCAGCAACTATGGCAATAATAACGGTAGTAATGCTGCTAGCAAAATGAGCAGTGGTGGGTCTCTTTTTGAAATCAGCTTCTCTGTATCTCAGTCAGAATTGCTTATGAGCTCTTACTGTTTAGGAGTAAAGCAAATGCCTTACAGAAGCCTTTTCTCACAAAACTCTGGGTTTCTCACCTAAACTGGTGCTCTCTTCAGCAAGAAATATGAAATTTCCTTGTATGTCTTTCCCCTGTGTCTGTCTTGGCCCATGCAGCCCCTCATCTCCATGCTGATATAATTAAGAGCTGGTTCTTGCAAGGACCAGACACACAGATGAATTGTGACAAAGGAGAGGCAAGAAGTTCCTTCAGTGATCCATCCTTTAAGGGAATCAAAATAACACAGATGGTCCAGCTCATGTTGGTTGCCCTTCATACACTGCCTCCCCAGACAAGTCCCTGCAGCTGGGATACACTCTGTCCTCTCCCAAAGAAAAACCTGTGGTCCTAAGCCTCTGTGTTTGTCACAGTCCTTCTGGGTGTCTGTGGGGAGGCAGCAGACATCAGCTGAGCAGCACCAGAGGGACGTGAACTTTGGTTTCTAGTCCTGTCCTGACCTGGCTGACAGCCTGGCTAAAGCATACAGGAACTTGCAGTAGTTTTGGAGATATCCTTAGCCTCTCCCTCTGAGTGCTAGGGATACCCACGTGTGAATTTAAACACCCAAAATACCGTCATCAGAACACTGACTTTATTAATAGAGACAAACAAAGGATTAAAACACATCATGAGTTTGCTGAAATACACAGTGTACCTGTGGAGAACAGACATATTTATATACATCAGTTCACTGTAGAAATGTGAGCCGTTTGGTCTAGGTGACTTGGATATCCCCAGGTAGTTTGCAACGAATCCAGACAGCTTTCTCTCCGTGGTGGCCCTGGTAAAGCAACCCATTTCCCCCCAGCCCCACCCCAGCCAGGCTAGTGCCGGACCCTCTGCACACCATCAGTGTCTCTTGCCGGACTTTCGACTGCACAGGATGAGCACAGCTGGGCTTGGCCTGAGGCCAGCGGTGCTGGTGAACCCCACCGAAGGCTGCGGGCTGCTTGCTCTGGGGTGTGCCGACCTGGGCCATTTCAGCGGGGAAGCAAGAGGGAGTGGGCCAGAGTGCTCTGGACACACCCGCATCCCGTCCCTGTCCCCGCTACCCCCACCCATCGCAGGGGAATCCCCTGGCGCCGGCTCCTCCAGCCGGCAGGGGGTGGATGTTTCCCGCCCGAGGAAGGAGCCGGACAGCCCGGGGCACGGCACGGGGCCGGTACCGCTTCCCGGCACGGCTCGGCACTACTCGGGTCTGCGCTGGGACGGCACTGAGCTCCCGGGACCGGCATCTTTACTCCCAAGGCACGGCCCGGGATTTTCCTGGACGGACAAAAACAAGCAGGGGAGGAGGGGAGGGAGAGGACGGGGTGGGGCGGGGGAGAGAAAGAAAACAGCTCCACGGATGTCGGATGTCACGGACGGCGTTACACGGGCGACGCGGGGGCTTCTCGCTGCGTCTCTCGGGCGGAGGAGCTGCGGGAAGTCGCCGGCACGTCGGGGCGGCCAGAAGTCAGTGCCGGCGCTCCCGGCGGCTTGTCCCGGGGCGCCTCTGCTTACAGGCACTTGAGGAGGAAGGAATTGCACGACGTCCCCCGGGGGCAGTCGCAGAGCTTCCCGATGCGAGCCCCCTTCCTCACGGCGCACTGCTCCCCGGCGTCGCACTGCGGGCAGCGGCCGGCGGTGAGTGAGACCGCCACCAGCGGCAGCCAAATAGTCCCGTCCCGTCTAGCCTAGTCCTATTCCCTCCCGTGTGGTCCTTCCCATTCTGCCCCTTCCCTTCCCTTCCCTTCCCTTCCCTTCCCTT